AACAAATTTCTGAGAAAAAAAATGCACCATTTTATTCATCCTACCATGAATATTGATAGTCTCACTTAAATTAATCAGCAAGGAAGGTGGATATATTGAAGAAGGATTGGTAATATGACAGTAGTATGCAAGAGTAATATTCTATTCCATAGAAAGGAGTGAATTAAAATAGGTTTTCACCAAACAATTAGACCAGATCTTCACACACCCCATAGCAAAGACTTCAGAAGAAAGATGCACAATCAAAATGATAGGGGACACAGAACCAGATATGATCAAATAACTCACAGTACAAATTCAGAACATTCTTCAAGCATAGATGGAACAAGAATTATCAGTCACTAACCAACCATCTGTGAAGGATGATCAAAACTCCTTCCCCCATTCCTGGAGCATATGTTAAACTGATAGCATCACTGGAGAAAGGTATTAGTTGCTACACACAGACTTGTGGTACACTGAGATAAAAATAATAGATACTGGCCAGGTAAGTAGCCAGAGATTTCAGAGGTTATGGATATCTTAAACAGATGTTGAGTGCAAACATTTAGAGTACTTGAAAAGCATTTAATTTCAAGCCCTCTCATTTGTGGAGCAGCGATTAGCTAAGCATCTCCAACTAAAGACTAACTACTTTCTTGCTGGATTGATCCCAAAGTGTTTGCCAAACCCAGATTGTAAAAAAATCAGCCATTTTTTAAGGATGTGAATATATCAGAGCTCCATGGGATATGCAACACTGGATCAGGCCATTAATTCATTAACTCTGATCGCTTGCCAATTCCTATTGGTTTAAAGTGGAGGGGAAAAAAAGAACAAAACAAAGCAGCCCCAACAACACACCATCACCGTAATGCATCCAGCCAATTGCATAGTACTGTACATATTTATTCACTTAGGCTTATCAACATTAGGCACTCATCCAATGTGCAGGGAGCTTTCACAATAATTTTAAACTCACAATATCAGAATACAAATTCCATAATATGGTCACAGGAACTCAGGTAAGGTGCACCAATTCAAGCAATTAGATGGCAAAAAAAATTATTAATCATGTAATGACCACAACATTTGCATTGTGGACTTTTTCCCAAAATGGGGGAGAAAAAGAAAAGTATACAGCAAATAAATTCTTTCTTATCACTGGTGTTCAGTTTATATGCTGAAGGAAGAAAAAAACACCAGCTTCATAAAAGAATGTATACCTACACATATATACGCACACATATACATACTCACACATATATATAGATATAACATGGGGTTGGAGTGCAGGATATCTGTATCCAATGCACCTCAGAGCCATTATAAATTGTACTTACAATGAATCTTTGAAGGCCCTACCTATTCTTTCTTGATGGTTATCACATCCAGAATATTCCTAATAGTTCAATTTTATGAGCAGCTGTAGTAACCATCATTAAATAAAATACTATAAGAAATACTTTTTCTTACCCACAACATAAACATGTCCCTTCTTACCCCAAAGCTATGTTATATAAGTTTTAAAAGTTTCAACAGTATATTACACTTTTCTCTTTTCTTTTGAATTCTTGGCTTCATAGATAGAGAAATAGTGAAAAAAATACTGAAAATATTTCTGAAATTTATAATAAATTAGTTCCAAAATAACTGTTCTGTAAAAAAACATGGCACAGGAAAGAAAATAAAGAGGGCATCTGTTTCATGTAGTTTTACCACTAATGATTAACATGTTCATTCTGAACTCCTGTAGACTTTTCTTTCAGAATGTCACATTTTAATCTCATTGTATATATATTTTCTTTACATAAAACTCAAAACACTTGGATCAAGTACAATCTCCTTTAATATGCTGGGTTCTGAAATTGCAGCATAGGCAAAGAGAAAGTGTAAATGGTAATTAGGGCAATACATCTAAAGAAAATTGGTAACTGAAGCATCACTGTGTGAGTAAAATATTATAGCGACAATCAAAGAATATGCTGTAGCATGCTTAAATATACACATAAAGTAATATACTGTCATAGATTACATTAATTATTTTGAAGAGTTTATTCTATATTTTACTTTGAGAAATGTGTTGGCACATAAATGAACTATGACCCAATCCTACAAATCCTTTTCTTATATGAGTCATCTATGGAGCTTCTTGCATATAAAGAGCTTCCAGGATCAAATGCATAGTTTTTGCTTATTCTCACACTGTCTGCCAACCAAGTTTGATTTAAATGTAGACTCAAGAATAACATAAATTATTTTTAACAAAAGACATACTATTTCTAATAAATACGTACAACATTCTGTAGCTAGATACAGGCACTGTATACTTAGAAAAGTTGTCATTAAAATAAATATAGCTGTAATACAAGGCCAATTTTTGAATTGTCAGTACTTATTCCCTGTAAATTTAATGGCTATTCTTATTCATGAAAAAAGTAAATATAACAAAATACCTCCATCTCAAACACCTTTTAAGCATATACAAAATCAACCTTTCTGCTTTGTTTCCTTTGACAGATTTCTTTATATATATATTGTTACATTAAAAAAAGGAGTCACACAAAAAAGTCCATCATAAGAAGTTTATACCTCTTTTCCTATTCAGTACAAAAGTTAACTATTATTTTGCTTAAACTAAAACGGAAACTCTAACTGAACCTAAGTCTCACTCAAGTTGCATAATGGAAAATGATATTCATCATACCAAGACTTGAAGGTAGAAGATTTCCTTATTTATCACTCTGATCAATTACCTAATAAGTTGCCCAGGAACTAGCCATTCAGCAACTACAGTATCTAAACAACGTAATTTTAAGCTTTCTTATCATGATGGAACGGACAATCTAGGTAAATATACTTGTTGATGAGATATTCTGCTACTTCAATATTAGTTTGTTTTTCAGTCCATGTAACAACTTAACTGCGGAGTATAGAAAAGAAATATTTTTACTCTATGGATAGTACATTCTCCTTGCTCTCCTAATGACCTTTGTTGCCTGACTGGCTACTGAATTATTATGTGTTTTGGAGTATTGAATCTATAGTAATAGAAGCAAAAAATCTGTGACTTACATTTTTGAATCATCCCAAAGCACACAATAGGGATTCAAAGTGCCCTAAAACAAACAAACAAAACCATTAGTTGCTGATATACATGACAATTAAAGTGACCAGTACAGCAGTCCTTCTTAAGACCTTGATCTAGTGAGATTATCTTCAGTTCATACTGAATTTGCCCCCTAGAATGGAACAAAGGGGCTGAAGCCCAGCACTACAAAAGGACTTAAGTACCGAGCTTCTGTAATGTTGTACCTATTAGCCCAAAGGTGGGCAATGGTTTGGGCTGGAGGGCCACTTAAGGTATTTTGGTGACCTTGCCAGGCAGGTGGGGAGGGAGATATTGACCCAGCACAGTGTGGTAGAGGGGAGGTGTCAATTGATCCTACACAGCCCTACACAGGTGCTGGGATTGTGGGGTGGTGACATCGCAGGGCCAGGGGCCTGGGGTCTGGGGCAGAGCCACGATGTGCTCCTTGCAAGGCCCTGCCTATGGAACCAGCGCCCATGCCAGCGGGGTGTGGGGAGCAGACCGCAGATCATAGCTCTGCCATAGGCCTTGGCCCCATGCTGTCACCACACCATGATCCTGACATGGCCCCAGTCCTGCCCACCTGTCCCACTTCTGGATGCCGCTTCCAACCCACCCAGGGCCCCATCCAATCCACTTGGCTGAGCACAGCCTTCCTGTGGGGGTTTTGGGCTGGTCTCAATGGAGTCCCTACCTGCCCACAATCCACCCACTCCATCTGGCACCCCTGGTGGTGAGTGCAGGGTGGAAGGGCTGGGATGTCGGGGCAGTGGGGCTGGGTCCAGTGCCAGAGACACTGGCAACAGCAGCCAGGCAGAATAAGCTGCCATGGCAGGGTCTGCCAAGAAACCAAGTCTGGCCACCAAGCTGCCCTTACCCCTGCCCTGCTGTGCACCTGGTGGTGGCAGGCCCAGCTACAAGCACCTTGGCCTGGGCTGCCCCATGCAGTTGGCCAGGTAGGGCCAAGGGATCTGCAGCAGGCTGAATCTAGCCCTCAGGCCATATTTTGCGCACCCCTGTATTAGACTGAGGGCCATAGGTGAGGTAGGCAGAAGGAATTAGTTTGGAAACTTGATGTCAGGTAATTAGCAGCTTAGTCCTATCACAACAGTAGAAAAACAGTAGGCATCTGAAGAACATAAATGTTGAAAACTGGGGGACCAATGGACTCGAGATGCTTCTAGAGCTGATTACGGTTTACAAGCTTGCAATCATGGACTCAGACACTTACATTGTATCTAGGTCCCAACTGTAATGCCCAAGTTCACTTATGAATCTGAACATATATCTTAGCAGAGATTCTGACCCCAAAATGTTAACTTTTTCTCTCATACTCTGTGCCCAATTCAACTACCATTGCAAACATTGGAACAGTATTGATTTGAATGGAAATTGAGCTGGGTTCTCCAAATCTCATTATCTCAAAAATCATTAAACTGGGGTAATGTTTCAGAAAATGGAAAACAATGTATTACTGCTCTTATTTACTTTCTCTTGCCCATTATGGGTTGACAAGCAATTAAAATTCATATTTTGAGACAAATTCTGCAAACTTTCCTCAGGCTAAACTGAGACTGGTTTTAATAATGGCAGAGCATTTTTCCTGACTAAAGACTACCTTATAAACATTCATATGTATCAGGCCAGTTTTACACAAATGACAGTACATGAATAAATCCAAACAAACAAAAGTTGAATAAAATACCAGCCATATAAAGAAAGAGCTGAAAGTTTCTATTTACATATGACTTGATACGACTTTTGTCATGATATGAACATTATTGAAAAAAGAAGCTGGTACAAATTACTGGTGGTTCAAGGAATAAGCTATGAATACTTTTTTTCAAAGATAAAATGGAGTCATAGTTCTTCACCCCACTACATGCATTTGATTTTATACTACAGGTTTTATAATTATAGAAATTAGCTACTGTAACTAATAAAAAAAAATATGCATTCCTTATTTTCTTGAATTCTTTCCGAAGTAATCCTTTTCAAGACCCCAGCAACAGAAATATTTAGTGAAGTTCTGATTTTAATAGACAGTTCACTCTAAGTAACTTCGTTACATTTTCTGGGCATTTAAAACAGCATATTTGTGTAATGTATGTGTTTAAATGTAGGTAGTGCTTACATTCCATGCCTCCAATAATTTATAATCTAAATAAGGAAGATTGGAAAGAAACCTGTAAGATATAAAGATCAGAGTATGTGTGTTGCACAACTGGCCCAAAATATTTAAATGAATCAATAGCAAAGGATGTGAAAGAATCAAGAATAGGAACATTAGAATAAATAGGGAGTGATGACACATATCTTTCAGAGAAGACTCATTCTTTGTTTGGTGCAGTACGTTAATCCGTTTTATGAGCATACATGAAGTAATCTGCGTATGTTCAGTGTTACAGACTTATAAGCATATTTTAAATCCATGCCAATAACAGCTAAACTATAATCAGATGTCAGTACGTAATTCATGTGAGAATTTGGTTTTTTTCTCCTGGAGATAGGTGTTGAACAATATATTCCCTCTTTGCAAGGAAAATACTTTCATATGCTTTGAGAAAAAAAAGAGCAACTGTTCACACAGAGCAAAAGAGTGACAGTAAAAAGGAAAGGAATTTCAAGCAATGCTCCTCAAAAACAAACACAGCTAAAATACTGTTGGCAGGTTTGGGGAACTCATGCAACTGTGTTGCAGTCAGATCACGGACTGCCCCTTTTGGAGCAGTTTTCAAATGCAAACAGTAGGTTCTCTGGGTAATGACAAAGAGTCTTAGGAAAGGAATGTGTAATTTGAAAGTAACATTGAAACTTGTTCTTTAGCTGATTTTGTACACCTTTTAATTTACCCATGGATCTGAGAAATTATTATGTTAATAATAATTGTGGACCACGGATATTCCCTTGGCTGCTTATTGCATCCTCAGGAGGTTTCTGGGTCTAAACGCCTCAGCCATTCCTTGCCAAGCTAGGTGTAAAGAGTCTCCTTGAAGTAGTCTCCAACCTTTCTGGGAGCCAAGCCACCTTCCTAAACTACAGCCTTTTATCACAGCTGTTGGCAGATAGTTAATTAGCTGCAGCTGAATTGTCTATTAACCTCTTTGTGACTGTTACTGGGTGGGTTGTATACACACCATCAAAGGCTCTTGATACACTGGCAATAGATGTACACTAGTACTTTCAGTTAGCAAGGTGTGATTTGCAGTTCTGGAAGGTATGCAAAGCAATGCCACTATGGCCTATGGCAACTAGAAGGCGCTGTGTAAGAGGCAGTAAAGGCGGCACAAATTTTCACCCTAGATTGCTGCTGTTATTGCTCCATGATATAAAAGCAGAGGCTCTGTAAAGTTATGAGTTATAAGTTTATATTGTAGGACAAAATGGCTTTTTGATAGGGACAATTTTGTATCTCTTAAGGCACAGCATTATTGCCTCTTTCAACAAAACTAATGGAAAATGTTTCTGATTAAACTAATCATTCACGCAATCTATGGTAATTCCTGATGGTGTCAGGTACTGTAACTGTGGCTAATCTACCTATCACATAGTACTGTTGCCAGCCGTATTTTAAAGTCATCCTAATCCCAATATCATCTTGTATTTGAAAACATCCTACTCATCTGTAATTTAAATAAATATAATATAATTTGATTTTTATGAATAACTGCCTAACTTGTATGTTTAATATATAAAAAGTCACCTATAGAGGCATGTGATGCGGCTGCTACCACACAACACCGATCTCTTCCACAGCATCTTCCTCTACAGTGCCCCACTCTTCCTGCTTTGTGTGCAGGCCTGCTCTAGCACTCTAGTGTCCCCCTCCACTTAACCTAGCCATCAAGTACTGCTGATTTCTATGGCTAACGGCAATGTGGAGCTGCAAATTTGGTGGTGAAGGTAAATGGAGGCTGAAGCAGTCCTTGGAACAGAACAGGAACTGGAGACTTTATGGGTGAATGCTGGCATGCAGCAAAAGAATGCACAATGTAGGGCAGAGAAAATGCCTCTGTTGCCATGTGACACATACTGATCCCCCTACCCAGGGGCTGGATTCAGTCTCTTTGCAGGCCAGATCTGGCCCATGGGCCATAAGTTGTCAACCCCTGACCTGTATCTTTCCTGGAAACTTTGAGTGGAACTTATTAGCAAATACTTTCTAGTTCAGAAGTAGATTCCAGTAATATTTTAACCATAAACCACAGGTGTTATTACATACCAATAGGTCTTTTTCAGTTACTTATTATCCACATTCTTGCTCTGAGCATTGCTGTATCTTGGATGTAAGCATAATGTTGTTTTGTTTGAGCGAGCAAGAGAGAAATAAATTAGCAAAACTAATGAAAGAACATTCTCCCATACATACACAAATTTTATTGATTGTCTAAATAGTAAATTATTAATCCACTTAAATGCAGACCTTATGATTGGTGAAGGGCAAACAATAACTACATAGCAAAGCTTTAAAAGGAACAGCAGTAATAAAGAGAAAGTCCCAGAAATGATTGTATGGAATAAATCGCTTGGATTTTAATTCCTATTAATTTAATTTAATTTAATTAATTTTTTAAATTTGTCAATTTTATTGACATTGTGATTAAACCTTAAGAAATTAATGTATAATATTCAATGCCTACAGATGAAGTCAAACCACTTTCACTTTAATTAATGTGTGTGATGTATAAGGTTCAAAGATAGATTGTTGTATATTAAAACAGTATAATTAAATAGATTAAATTGTCATTTTCAGCTGAGGTAAATTAGAGCAAAAAAGAAGATGAAGATAACTCAGTCTCAAAGTACAAAAACATATCAGGGAATGTGCCATTGCCTCTTCAGCAAAAATTCCTTGGGTAAAAAGCTTGAAAGCTTTTTTTGTGACTAGAAAACCACTTCAACGTTAAAATCATTAAATATTGTACTGTCAGTTCCTGGTTCCAAAGTTGAAACCAGAGTTCTGCAGTTGGATCTTGAAAGACAAACTCTTGCATTCAGCTAGAATTAAACTGGGCAAAAAAGAAAGAG